ACTAAAATGCAATAAAAATCTCAATTTTGCTAAAAAATTCCCAGAACCTGATTTTCCTAGCAATCAACCCATATGCCCATTCAGGTGTATTTTTGAAGGGATTACTATATATAAAATAAATATTATTATCGTAAATTTATTTTCGTTACTTCTTCGCATGTTGAATTTGCTCTATAGTGGGATCCAACACATTATATAATAGGTGTTTTAGCTATTAAAAATAAAGATAAAAGATGACTGAATAAATGTTATGAAAAGTAAATAATAATAATTTGCTTATTACCTTTTCCAAATGTCATGGATGATCATATATATAGAGAAATCATTTGTTGCTTGACAATTTTTGACGTGATTCATCATTTGAATCAGATTGCTCAATAGCATGATATCTGTTCTAAGCTAGAATAGGTAAAAATTCATCTTTATCAAATTCTTGTATATCATCATTATTTTGTTCGTATAGTTTTATAGCTGCTTTGATTCTCCTGTTTCTTTTCTATCAATCGTATAAAGATTAGTTATTAAAACATTTAAAATAAAAAAGAAATATATTAAATGAAATGATACTCACTTTAGATAAATGAGCATTTATGTGTATATGTCGATCATTTCTGTTTAATTAGCCTGATTGTCACTTTTGATTTCTGTCTCTTTTATGCTTATGTATTGATTGTAACCAACTAGCTAATTGAGTGACTGATGGATTAAAATGCCCACTTATCAACTTCTTTAATTCAGGAATCAACTTCTTGTAGATTTTCTCTGACTGCTTAGAAAAAGTCTTGTCATAATCTATCACGTATTCGTCAGAGATTTGGTCTTTCATGAAATTTTTCATTTCAGTCTATATAATAAAAATAAATATAAAAAGGTTGTATTAACGTAAATTCAGCAAACTAATAATTATTACCCTTATGGCTACTTCATTATCTTTGTTAGGAGATTTTTCTTTTGATTTTAGTCTTTTATTATGTCATTCGATTGTAATATTAGTAAGACTTCAAGGTATGCAAATTTGTTAATATCATTTGAGTTCTGCTTGTAAAGCTTTATTTTCTTTGTGTAATTTTTCTAACTCAATCCCAAAAATTCTATTGAATTTACTCAGCAAGGTATTTTCCTCTTCAACTTTTCGAATATGATCTTCTAAATCTCTAATTTTTTATTTTATATCTGCTACTTTGATCTGTTCTTGACGTAATTCATTTTGAAGCTGATTGTTTTTCTTTTTAAAATTCCCATGTACTAAATTATTTATTTAAATTATATGAATATATATTGAATCAAGTTGAAGTATATATATATATATATATATATAATAATTGTTATAAGATAACAAATTTGATTTACCCGCTTCTTCTTCATGACTTTTATGACTTAGTTAGTGACTTGTTACTTCTTTATGACTTGATTAGTAACTTCTTGATATATTGATATAAGGATATTTATAATAATATCTGATGTCATCATACTTTGTTGAGATAGAGTTCGGCTGGATGATTGTGAAGGAGTTTGACTGAAAAATTGAGAAGATATTTTGCTAGAAATTTGAGAGGAAGTTTGATTAGAAGTTTGAGAAGATATTGTAGGTATATTATTTCATATGACAAGATAAAGGGGTATCGATGAAATTATTGCGATCTGTAGCATAGTTAGCTGAGGTCGTGATTAAGTTGTTGACAAAGTTGTGGATTTTTTTTGGTATATTAGGTTGAGGAATTGTTGACGAAGTTAGTGCTTTAGATCGAGGTGTTGAAGGTATTTGGCCTATTAAAGCTAAAATATCTACTAGTACAATGAGTCTAAATAATGTTAAAAGTCGTGGTTTATCTGTTGAAGTTCATGGTCTATTAGGTTGAAATGTTAATGAACTTGTATTATATCGTGATCTATTAAGTTGAGAAGAGATTGACAAAGGTGGGTTATTTTGTGAAGTATTGGGTTAAAAATATTTTGATGAAGGTTTCCTGTGAGAGATTTATATTTTTTAAAAAAAAAGAGAATATTTCTTTGTATAAAACAAGAAAATCCATCCATCTTTTATATCTATTTTTATACTATTTTTAAACTTTATATCAATTGGATTCAATTATTAACAATCAAATCAAATTAAAATAATATTTCTCTTAAAATCAAATGATATAATATATATCAAATCAATATAAATATATTAATATCAATTAAATAAATCAAAGTCAAATATCAGTAAATCTATAGAGTTAAATATCATTAAATGTATTCACCTCTATATATAACTTTATTAGTAAAATTAAACTTGCATAAATCAGTAAAACAATGTTATTGATATTATATTATTAATTTAAAATATAAAAAAATACATAAAAGTCAATATAACTTTGTTCATCATAAAAACAAGTCAAACTATAACTTTACTCAGTTTAATTGATTTAACAATTTTTTATCAAAAAAAAATGCAATAAAATGGAAGAAAATGCACTGCCGATTATATATTAAACAAATATAATAACCTAAATTCTAATTAAATTCTAACTAAAAATAATGAATTTACGACCAAAAAACTAAGAGCAAAGATTCAGTGTTTTTGCAGCAAATGTAAAGGAAAATCAGTTAATCCGCACACAAAAGAAGTACATGAAGAGTGATCAACATCTTTACGATCTTTACCTGTTAATAAGACTCCAATATCACAAGTATTAGTAGAAATCTTAATTCGATAATATCGTTAGTAGAATCACAAAATACAACAATATTACTAGTAGAATCGTAAGATACGATAATATTGAGTAATATAAATTCATCACATATATCTGATAATGTTTAACATTTCTCTCATGTAAAAGAAGAACAAAAATAGACACGTTTCATCCTATTATTGAAGTTGAGCAAGTAGAGGTAGATTCTGAAGATTCTGATAATATTATATTAACTGAATATGATATAGACAATAACAACACCAGCGAATTTTCAGCACAAGAAAATCTGTCTATTGATGACAATGATTTTTTAAATATATTCGAGAATTATTCACATCCTATTTTTGATTTTGATACACCTGGTATTTCAGAATTACCAAAAGATAAACTAATTAAAGGGATTTTGATATGGATTATAAAGTTCAGGTCGAGTTATAACATATCTAATATCACAATTGATGACTTAATTAAATTTATTAGAATAGTTTTGAAAGATTGTAAAAGTATCGATTACAAATCATTTCTAAATTCATTATATATGTTAAGAAAATCATTAGGCCTTATTGACCGATTTACGTAATTTGCAGCTTGTTAAAAATGTCACAAATTATACAAAAAATATAAGGTAATGTTAGAGGACAATAATACTATTAGAAAGTATAACTATATCGAATTTTCAAATTCGATTACAAAGGGATCAAAGCAATGTCAAATTCCCTTAGGAAAGAAGATTTCTTTAAATAATCGTATATCAATTGTTTCTGAATTAGTATATCCTGTTTCAAATATATAACAAAAAATTTCTAGTATATTCAGACGATCAGGATTTGAAGAATTATTACAGCATTGGGCTCATTATTCAACAATTGATAATATTTTATCAGATATTTATGATGGATAAATATGGCAAAATCTTAAGAAATCGTCTAAACAAGGATCAAATAACTTTTTTGACCTGAAGTGGTTAATACTCATCTTGAATTAATAATGAATTTAGACTGATTCTAGCCATATGAAGGGACGACATATAGCATAGGCATAATATACATAGTAATACAGAGGGTGATCACAGGTATCCGAATGATAAGTATTTTTTTGTTTATTCGCTTTGTTTACATATTTATATATATTTCTAATTTAAGCATTTGTTTAGAATATAAATGGATGTCAATCACAATAATAACAAATAATTTTCTTTCGAACAAGAATGGTTAAAACAAAAGAATTGAATGCTGAACAATATGGGGCAATTCTTTATAGCCACAAACGAGATAATTCATATCAAAAAATTGCTGACATTGTACAATGTGGTAAAACAACTGTCCATGATGCGATAAAATGTTTTAAAGAAGCTGGTTCTGCAATACCAAAAAAATGTTGTGGCTCAAAGCCACTTTTGAATTCAAATGCACAATCTTCACTTAAAAAGATTGTTACACAAAATTTAAAGCATCATCGCCTTACCACTCAAAAAATTCAAGAATTATGGACTAAAAAAAAAAGAAAGTTTCAACTGTTACAATTCGTCAGACTCTTAAAAAAGTCAGCTTACATTTGTGTATTGCCTGCTCTAAACCATTAATTTCTGAAAATAATAAAGAAAAAAGATTGGCTTGGGCATTGAAACGAGAAGATTGGACAATTGCAAAATGGAAGAAAGTTGTATGGTCTGATGAATCAACATTTAGTCAATTTTCACAAGGTCGTAGCTTATGTGTATGGCGTATACCAGAAGAAGAATTTGACCCTTCTTGTTTAACTGCTACAATAAAGTACAGTCTCAGTCGAATGTTTTGAAAATGCTTTTCGTGGTATGGGTTGGAACCTCTTGTTCCTCTTCGTGAATCTGTAACAGGACAAAGATATGCAAAAATGTTACAGAGGCATGCTATTCCTTCAATTTACAAATTAGTTTCTCGCAAACAAGGAATTTTTCAAGAGGATAATGCCCTACCTCATCGAGCAAAGATTGCCGCTGATGTTCATAGCGCCTCTAAGATTTCTGTGCTACCTTAACCTGCACAAAGCCTTGATTTAAATCCTATTAAAAATCTTTGAAATGAAGTTGATAAGAAACTTCATAACTTGCCTAATCAACCTAAAAATGTGGAAGATTTAGAACATAAGGTAAAATATGCTTGGCGTTTAATTCCACTTGAGTATATTTAAAATTTGGTTAAAAGTATGCCCCGTTACATTCAAACATGTATAGCAGCTGAAGGTAGTTCAACAAAATATTGGTTTTTTATTTTTTTTTTAATAAAATATATAGGAAATGTTCAGAACAAATAAATTTTTTGCTTATTCTAAAAAAAAA